AAACTGCTTTCTGCTATGTAGATATGGTATGATTACTATTGTGCATTTGAGATTTATTTGATTACATTACTAAACACTTTATGTATGCTCAGTCTCCTTTCAAAAAGACTACAAATAATGCTAGGTTCTTTGCTTTCAAAATCTACAACCCGAGATACAAGAAGTACCAATATTTGACGATGGACAGAATAAAAGGGGTTTGAGCATTCCAAAAGGAGGGCATCCCTGGACATTATGGGAACAAATGGTACAAATGTAACCAAGTCCTTTTTTTAACTAGAAAGAATTAAAGATCCCTAAAAAAAGGTAATTGATTAGCTTTACTAAGTCACCAGCAAATAAGAGAATGATAAACACTAGATTAATAATCAAATCATTGCCTAAATTCATCACAAAATTGTATGAGAAAAGGCAGAGATGAACAGAGACAAGAAGAGAAAGAGAATATTTTAAAATACAGTTCTGGGAAACTCATGCTTAAATAAATGACTAAAAATTGACCAGGTGTGGTGGCTCATGCATGTAATCCCAGCACTTTGGGAGGTCAAGACAGGTATATTGCTTGAGCCCAGAAGTTATACTCAGGACCCACTACAGAAATGTTTAACATCCTATGCAAAATATCATTTAAAGTATACTTCAGAAATCTCAGAAAATATACTTTGATTTTCCATAGTTTAATACACTTTATAGTCCCAAAATACATCTCTTACAGGTCCCTTCCCTGTTTGGAAGCACAAAAGGCTCACAAATCAAGTACTAGTCTGGTTTATCTAGAGCATAACCTTCTCACCAAGCACATTTTTAGAAGGGAGTGGAGGGAAACAGTTGAGCTGAAATTACAGGCTGTCATGAAAACTCAGTATCAAAAACTGAATACCTGGTTCCGCAGGAGAGTAGGATTTTTTATTCACCATCCTGTTACTAAGCAACTATAACAATGGCTGCATAAGCTTTCTAGAAGCCAGTGCAGTTAAGGGAGAAAAAAGTCTAAGGAAAGACAAATGGAAAATGCCTTGCTTTGGGAATCTTTATCTCAGTATAAATTCAATGTAAAAACAAAACAAAAACAAAAACAATCTAAACCAAAAACAAGCAATTCCTTAAAGGTCTGGAAAAGTACATGCAACTATATATCATACATTTTATTTGGTTAATTTTGGTTAATTTCAAAATTCACATTCAACTGGTGATAATGATTTCCTCACTGTGCTTCCTTTGTGGGCCCCTTCTTTTCTTCACCCTCCCTAAGGAATAATTTTTTTTCTCAAATTTCCTTACTGATTAAAGGAACATTTTAGAGCTCTTAAATCCATTTCTTTGTTTACAGAAGCTATACAAACTAGTTTACAATTTTTTCATGCTGCCTCAGCTTTGAACCGAGAATACTCTAGGACATCAAACTACAGTATTCCTTTGAAGAGAATAGTCTCTCAAGCAAAGCCAGACACTTTCCCAGCCACTCCCTGAAGTTTAGACAACCAGAGCATTGCAAATGTCAAGTCTTTTTCAAAGTTAGACTATACATACAGTACAGCAGGCTCTAAACCAATGTTTCTCAAATTGTGGTTGGGTTTCAGGTGGCAAGGGGGCTTCCTTACATGTTCCAAAGGAATTTTACAGACTAGGCCTGCAAAGGGCCAAGGAGCAGGCTGGAAGAGATATCCCCATCAACTTTTCCTTTCTTTGAAGCTTTCAAAATCTGTTGCAATGGTGAGAGAGCTCCACATGCTACGTTCTCAAATATCGATTCTATAGAAGACTGCTTCTTACTACGGACTTTTTCTCTCCACTTCCAACTCCTCCCCTCACCCCCAGTTCCTAAAGGATGGTAGGCAAGAAGATAGGCAAGATGGAAAGATAAAGTTTTAGAATTACTTTTCTAAATCAAAGATAAGCAATTATGGTGTGACTCTGTTCCCAAGGCACCTCTAGACTCCAATAAGCTTCTGAGCAGCATTTGAAGAAGGTGGTTTGAGTCTCCTGTTTTTAATTAACTTTGTTTTGATTCTCATTTTTAAAAATTAATAAACAGTACAAAGTTTCATCTTTGTAATTGCTACAAACCACAAAGCTCTGCTACTTGAAAAAAATAAAGTAAATGAAGAAAATCCTGTTTTCTGACAACCAAATAATTATTGCCTATACTGACAACAATAAGGAAAACTTAGCACTTATATAACACATTTTATAGGTCAATTTATTCAAAAATTAAATTGGTTAACTTCACCATTTATTCTGTATCCCTCTGTGGATAATAGGTTAGACAACATGAATATTCTCAAATAAGAATTTTTTTTTTTAAATTTCCAGCATCCTTCCATTGTTAAAATTCCTAAATTTGCTTACTTTAAAATTAAAGGTTTTCTTTCATCTGGCAGTCATGTTTATTTAGAACTTTGAAAATTAATGGTAACCCATATGTATAAGCGTATTCATTGAAGCACTGTCTTATTATAAAAGGTTGGAAATAGGGAATTAGTAAATTATGACTCATTCATAAAAATGGAATATTATGCAGCTAGAAAAAAATTAAAATGCTCTTTATGTACTTTATGAAACGAGCTCCAAGATATATTTTTTCACTGAAAATGTAAAATAAAGAATACTATGTACTAGGCTGCTATTCCTGTTTGTTAAAAAAGGAAGAAAATATATATATATATATATATACACACACACATAAAAGTGTTCTATTGTATGTTGCATAAGGTATCCTTTAAAAGACAACAAGACCTAGTAACAGCTTGGCCTCCATGGATTTAAAAAAAAAAAAAAATGTAGAAACAGGGCAGAGACTTTGTCTCATATATCCAATGTGAATGGTTTGCCTATTCAAAAAATACATGTTAAAAGTTTTTTAAAAACTAAAGTTATTGACAAATTACAATATCCACAGATGACAGGATGATACACTAATAGTAAAGCTTATACTTTGCAATTTACAATAGTAGTGAGAATTTTATACTGATGTGTGAATGATATCCCACACCAGCATAATTTTTCTAGGATTATCTTCTAGAATTAAGGTATAATCTAACCTGCTCTAATTTTACCTTAAATACACAAGACATTACCCTGGCCCCATTAGCTGCTGATACATTAACTTTTTAATATAAATAGTACAACCACACAATGCAACTAGATTTTATATTTGTAGATTTTAATTCATTTGGAAACTAATTGGGGGGGAAAAGACTATGCCATGCATTTGACTAATAAAAAGGGTAGGCAAAATCTAGGATCAATCAACAACTAAGAGAGACACACACATAAAAATCTTAACTTCTAAAAATCCTCCGCAAAACTACCTTTTTAACAAGTTATACAACAGGATCCTTCTAAAATTACTTTGTGTGTGTGAAGGGGGGTGAAGACAGGGAAAAAATGAGTAAGTTTTTCACAATAATTAAACCCTTACTTATTCACAAATGTTGGTCATCTACTAAGTGTCAAAGAGCATGCTAGATACTAAAATACAGGCTTCAAAATACACACACAAATACTATGAAGCAGTAAGCCGAACAGCTGAGAAGAGGGAAGAATCTGGGCAGAAAAGGGGATATCTGAGCTGAGCCTTAAAGGATGGCAAAGACGATGCAGGCAGAGAAAGGGAAGGAGGACCCCATGCTGAGGTGGATCACAAGCTCAGGAACAGTAACCAGTTATGGATGTCTAGAGAAGGCTCATGGGAGAAAACCCAACTTGAGCAGAAGGTTGGAGTTAGTTTGGGAAGGGTTTATATACTATGTTTAAGGGTCTGCATTATAACCACAGACTGCAAAAGAAAAAGAAAAACCACACAGTGGTACATGCCTTAGTCCCAGCTACTCAGGAGGTTAAGACAGATGTCTGGTGTGAGTCCAGGGGTTCAAGGCTATATAGTAAGCCATGATCGCACCTGTGAACAGTCACTCGAACCTGGACAATATGGCGAGACCCTATCTCTGAAAAAGGAAAAAAGAAAAGAAAAGATTCCAAAAAGTTCCAAAAAGATACAAAGATATGATCTGAGGTTCCAAAAGATTCCAAAATGATACAAAGATATGACCTGAGGGAACAGAATAAGATTTATAAAGAAAGGTTAAAAGGCCAAAGGTTATTTAGCCTAATAGACTTCAAGCCCAGGAAGATATCTTTCACAAACTGATAATACAGCTGTACTCTATCTCCACTGAAGGCAGAACAAATGACTAAGCACTCAGCTCTGATGATACTGTAATAAAACAGCAAGTAAAAAAACACTGTGAGAACAAGTAACCACGGAAAAAGGAGGGAGGCTGTGTGAGAGGTGGGGAAAAGGAGCAGAAGCCTAAGTGAATTGAAGTAGTCAAAAATTACAACTTATAAGTCAAGACAGTTTCTTGAAGTAAGAGTAGCATCTCCTTTTCAGGGAGTATTTTATAAGAGATGCTCACTGATTCATACATGGTCTTGTTTGACCATCTCAGAGTCTATTATACTCAGTCTGTAAATGGACTAAATCTGGCCATACTAAACAAATTCAAAGAGCAAATCATCATTAATTTGAAATAATCAAGGGAATAAATCACAAAAGACTTTTAAAGAAATGAGTGCTATTATTTTCTAATGCATGTACTAAGACCAAGGGCTAACCAAGTATTGCCAATACAGTGTACAAACAGTACCACTGTGAAAGTAGCATTGCTTATGGGCAATCTTCTTGCCTAAAATAACTCAGGAATTTGCACTGCAATTGTGAATTATCAGCTACTTAGCTATTTTCTTTTTTAAAAGAGCAATGACAAATTGAAGTACAGCTGCCCCAAAACTTAAGTATAGCAAATGATCACAAATTCTAAAACTGTAAGATTTAAATTAGCATGATCTTACTACTTGTGAAATATCGATTGCATGACATTTTAGGAGAAAAAAAGCAATTGGCGAGTAAAGTGACAGCTGACCCTTAATAGGGAATTAGTGAATTTATTTTCTAAAATCTTAAAGCATTAACTGATTAAATACTGAGAAAAGAGTACCTGGTCGATGGAATCAGGTTGAGTATCCCATTGAGAACATAGCTGAACTCTGCATGATCCTGAGCAACAAGTGCCACCAGACCTTCACAGCAGGTTGTTCGAACTACTACGTTGTCACTGCAACATTTCTCCCACAGCAAGTTCAAAGCAGGAGTCTGAAATCAAACCAGTGATTAAAAGACACTTCTATAGAGCAGCAAACACACACCCTCAGCCATCCATCAATGTGTAATTCATGCACAGGAGGTTAGTTTTCACATATAAAGATGATACTGTTGTCACTCTTCTTATAATAAGATAAAGTCAATTTTCTAAGATAGGTAATGAATGTGTTTTAGTAGAGCATCTCTCTCTCACCTTGGCTGCAAAAGAAGACTGGCTGCAGGCAGAGATACAACCAGAGTTCAAGCAACACAACAAAGCTAAGACTTTAACTAACCAAGAAATTTAACCAGACACCGACAGTGTCAGTATTATCAGTTTGTCTGAGTTAAACTCCAAATACGATCTATGTTTTAAGCTTTAAATGGCAATAACAGTTTCAGAAAATAATCCTACTCTCCTACCACCAACCTCTATCATCACCAACATGTACCTAACTGCCACCCACAATGCCCCTGCCACAATTTGTTGAACTCTAATGTGGGCCCAAATAAAAGAGAGAAAAGTAGAATAGGCCACCAGCAAGTTGCTCGTTCCATGGCTACCAAAAAAAGCCTAGGAAAACTGTTTGCTCAAGAAAGAGAGATGATGACTTATTCCCCTTCACACTGTGAATCCATCTTGTTTGATAGAAAAGCTCCAGAAGGGCACATAAGTAAATATAAGCTCTCATTTTAAAAACCCTATAAAAGCAGAGGTTTCAGTTTTTATAACTTTCTCAGGAAACCATGACCTCCAAAAAAAGATTCATTGCTAGCAATAAACCTATATTTGAATATATTATGGGTTAAGTCTATTTAGAGTTATATGCAGTTGTGTATTTTTAATTTAAAAAGAGAGAGAACAAATAAGTGATTTTTTTCCTTTTTTCTGATACAACTTATTAGGGAAATATATAATTTGGGGAATAAATAAGATCCCCAGTTCCCAAAGAAATAACTAAAAGAATGGAAATCGGCATTATAATGTGCCTACGTTCTCTCCCCAGCTGGCTGACAAACTTTTCAATCTTAGGATCCCACTATTAAAAGAACAATATAGTTATCAGTCAGCCACTATAAGAAGGAAATATTTCTATTTCATTTCTCCTTTTATTAAGACAGAAATTTCATACACCTATATAGACAATACCAAAGGGCTCTAAATGTCATTATTCCCATTACTAAGCCAGAAAAATAAAATAAATGAATAAACAAACTGCTGCCTCAGGTAATACTGTGTAAGCATTCATCTATTAGCAGAAGAGGAAACATTTAGTTACAGGGATTTGACATTCAATAAATCCTGGCAGTTTAAGTGAAACCACTAGATCTTCTCAAAGTACATAATGTGATTATAGGCAGGATTAGGATCAGGGTTCTCAGAAAACCTAATTTATATCACTACATACAAACACCAGATAATGCCAATTAGTGAAGTATGCCCCTACACTTACTTCAACATGTCAACAGAAGCTGTAAAGAAATGTAACTTGTTGTAGCTAATCAAAAAAAGGATGCAAGAAAAAGGAAATCAATTTATTTCTGCTGGGAAAAAAAAAATCTTATTTCCATCACTTATGTTCTCTATAGAGTGCACTTTAAAGCAGCTCTCTTAAGCAAAGTTTCCCAACCAGCATGTCAAAATATAAAACAATGATCAGCCAAAACCCAAGTGGTGTATCTCAATAAGCTGGCATTGCTTCAACTCTGAGCACTCACATGCCCTATGTGTGTAATAGAATTTTTCCTCCAGCTGTGACTATCAATATATGGCCTTTCCAACTTAGAACTCACATTTGGGGCTGACCTGAAGCATGAGAAATATCCTACACCCAAACAGAGTTACTCTGTTCATTTTTTCTATTAGCTAAAACTAACCCCGTAGAAGCATCCCTATCAATCACCTCTACAACATGACTTCCCTCATTTCACCCATATTATTTTTCACTAATGGTCATCAGAATATTCCCCTTCATCCCCTCCATGTCTCAGTCCTAGAGTCTATTCTAATAAATTTTAATTTTTTTAAATGCTATAGAATCATAGCAAATAAAAAAAAGGCAATAAAGTTCTCACAGTTCAAAATCATTTTTACTGTAACCTCAACTATGAGGGAAACAAGCCAACTGCATATGTGACCCCATTGGCAGCGATATCTGAAAAGCGTTAAAGTACAAAATTAAACACAAACCTGGGTTGTGGACTGATGAATCTTTTCTGAAAAACTATTTTCCTTTAGTACTGCAGCAATAAGATGACCTACAGTCTAAAATAACAAACAAAATTAATGAATACATTGCCTTAGAAGTTCCAAATATTTGGAATTGATATTATTTCCAAATATCAATAATAGTTGACAAGAATATGAGAATCCCAGGCAGTCAATCAGTAATAAATACAAGTTCTATTCATTGAATGTGTGCTATGTAGAAGGCACTGAATTAGGTATTCCACATAGAACTTTCAATCCTCAGAACAGCCCTCAAAGAAGACATTTTTATCCCAGGTTACCAATAAGTAAACTATAGTAAATAGAGGTTAAGAAAATTGCCAGATTTTCAGTTCAAATTACTGCTACTTAGTGTCAGAAGATAATGTGAGATAGCTTGATCCATTAAGCCACGAATGAGAAACACCACAGTTTCTAAAATCTCCTTTGTATCTAAATAAAATCTAGCATGCTTCATCATGCCTTTAGCGAAGATGAAGAAAACTCATCCCCATCTTTCTGATGATTGCCCACACATAACTGAACCAATAGGGTTCCCCTCTACCAGCAACATTCTCACTCTAGGCCATATGATTTTAAATTTATCATTTTCTCATGGGTTGCAGCCATTAAATTCAAAGTGAACTTAATCTTTCAGTCTTATAAATCTCTAAAATTTTCCCATATCTTGCTTTAATCAAAAAGCCCAAAATTAAATTAGATTCTTATATCATAGGAATGCTGATTACATGAATACATAAATATCATTACCTCCTTCCACCTCCACTTCATTCCCCCTAGTTCTTCAGCACTATCCAGCACTGCTGTCTTAGAGCCAATAGGCTAGCAACAATCACAGTCATTCTATATAGGAGGTAGAAAAAACTTGGCTACTGTAACACCTGTCCATCTTATACTTGGAACCAATGTCTGATATAACTGTGAATAGCTGTCAGTCTTGCAAAGTCTCCAGAAAAGCTAAAATTAAAAAAAAAAAACCATAGCAACTTCTCCCTCATTATTTTTCTTTTTGTATTTCACACATTGAAACTGATTTAAGACCTCAGTGCTTATGATCTCAGTTTTGCAATACCAGTCATTTATTTACATGAATATTAAGTTCAGTTCAATTTACTTCTTTCATCTCCTAGTAAGAGGGATAGTAACAAGAACTGAGAACCAGTGAATAGTTTGAGTTCCTGTTTTACAAAATATACCATATTTCATTGAATGTAAACAGCTGTCAACTGCAAGATATACCATTATTTTCTGTATCACTAAGAAAAAGGCTATCAATTAATCTATGATAAACAATGCTTCTTATAATTTAGAATTTTGATTTCATATTCATGAAAGAGTTCTTTTAGACTCATTTAGAAAACCATACCCAAGTTCACAAATGTGCAGGAAATACCTACTGCATCTCTGCCATCAATTACTAAACGCAATCCAATTTCAAACATGCTAAAATGTAATTTTAAAAAACTGTGTGTGAATCAATGAAATATGGTGCTAACATTGAACAATAGTTACAAAAGAACAATAAGAAGTATTTGCAGGGGAAAGGACACAATCACAAAAACCTAACAAAACCAATATGAAACACAATAAGGACAGAAAAATTATAGTCCATATTTAGAAAAAAGACTGACAGAAAATAAGCTTAATGCTTATACAACTCCCCACTCCCCACCAGTTTCAATTTCTCTAATATACTTTTCAATTCGTCTTCTAACAAATCAGAGATACTAGCCTAAATTGATTTTTAAAATATAAAACCCAGGGAAAAATCAGCCTATGTTGCTATATAAGTTTTCCATAACAGGATTCAAATAGATATCCTACCCTAAACAGCACATATACACATTTCATTTCATTTACTAGTAACACATATGGGCACTTCTTAATTATCTATGCTAATGAAGGGACTTCAGGCACAGAAAAATAAAATTGTGGACAGTATGCTCCAGGCCTTCATCTTCTCCTTCATGGCAAGGACCTGTAGGATATGACTCCAACCCAGTCAGGTAGAAGGGAATCTTGCATAAGGAGTGTTCTACTCCTCATGGAAGGGTTCCCCACTACCCAGCTAAGTCAATTCCCATAGCAGGCATCTCCGAAGTTAACTGTTGAAAGTATCCAAGATGCTGGACGTTGTTAAATCTTCAAGCTGGCATCTGCTGGCCTCTTAGTTTTACGCTCACAAGAAAAGTCAATAATTGATTATAATACCTTGATTAACCAGAATGCTTCTAGTCAGCTAAAGACTAACCAAAAAACTACCTTTGTTTTAACTATGTGTTTTACATATTGAAAAGTTCTCTAAAGTAAATTATCACAATCTCCTATCTTAGTAGACAGATCAAATTTTTTAATCCAGGATATTGTATTTATTGTCATTATTATAAAAATCTATATTCTTAATATTTATAGAGACATAATATATCTTTTTAAATATTAAGCTCTCATATTCTGTAGATATATAACCATTTGCCTCTGTTTCCAATAATTAAATATAGGGAAAAAAGTCCAGGCCTACAAGTTAATCAAGGTTTCATTTTTTTCTAGGAAGTATGATATTTGACAGTTCTCACAAAAGGCATTACAAAAAAAAGTATGATATATAAATAGAAGCTGAGATTGATCAATTTGAAGAATTTGCTTTCCTATGACAAATACGTATTTTCAAATTAACTTATATAAAAATTGTCTCATCAAAATAATACAATGTCTCTATACAGAACAAAACACTTAGTGTCAAAAATATAAAGTTAAATTAACAATCTACCAAAAAGGCTCATTTGCTACCATGAAGCAAAAATTAACACAATTACCTGTGATTGTATAAGAGAATTTGGAAATTCAAACCTTTTCCTGATATCATCTGACATTTTGGCTTCTCTTATGTGTATATATGCAGATTCTGTAACCAAAACAAAGGAATGCTTGTTAGTCCTCCAACTGGTTTGCACTGGTGCTCAAACTAATTATTCCTCAAATAGTATGAATATGATTCACTCCAAAGACAACGATGGAAATAAAGCATAGGACTCTGCAGAATAATCCTTGGCACAACTTCACTGACATTCAGCACTCAAATGTCTTGATAAATAAATAAACTAAAAATGATTAATAAATAAAATAAAAATGCTCAACGGCTCTTGGTTTTTCCCATGAGAGCTAATCCAGAAACAGATGAATTCACACTAAAGAAACTAAAAATAACCCCAAAAAAGTTCAACTACATATTTGAAATAAAAATTGATTATTTTATGGATCAAAACTTGTAAGGGAGAGAGTCAAACGATCATAAAATTGTTTAAACTGTGCCTCATTTTGACACAAGCTTTCATTTAAGCACTAATCCAACTGCTAGTGGCAAATGTGAAACCAAGATGAACGTTGTTCTAGAAGTATAAAAATTGATCTAGAAACACATTAAAATAGACCGCCTCTTTAAAGGATGAACAAGAGAGCAATTAGCACCAACTTTTAATATTTACATCACATTCTCATTCCTACTGGGTTCACACACAGATACAAAAAGCAAGGAAAAAGGACGGAGGAGGACAGGTGGTAAAATGGAGGCATGGAACTAATAGGAGGATTTCCAAAGGATCCTAATTTACCCAATTTCCATGCAGCACTAAACCTACCAAATTAAATTACTTTGAAACATGGGATGCTTTAGGTCACCTAATTATTGTAATTAAAAAATAAAATCTATGTTATACACTACTGTAGGTTACCTTATAAAAATAACAAGCAGCAAAACCAAGCTCCCTTGATCTCAAAAAACAAAGCATGTTGTGATGAACCTGTAGCACTTTCTAACAACAGGTTGAGTATCCCTAAACTGAAATTCCAAAATCCAAAATGCTCCAAAATCCAAAATGCTCCAAAATCCAAAATGCTCCAAAATCCAAAACTTTTTGAGCACCAACATGACACTCAAGGGATATGCTCATTGGTGCATTCTAGATTTTCAGATTAGAATGTTCAGCCAGTTTAAAGTATCTGCAAATATTCCAAAACCAAAAAAAAAAGTTTTTCAAACACTTCTCATCACAAGCATTTCAGATAAGGGATACTCAATCTGTACTTTCCTACCTTTCTTTCAAGCTAAACTCCCTGACTGGGCCATTTATCCTGGCTTTTTTCTTCAACATCTATGTCTAGCTTTACTCCCTTGAATTTGACATTCTGCAACACTAAAACAACTTGTTCTAAGATTGCAACTATTTCCCTATCTAAATCTACTCATTGCCTGAGGGAGGTCAAAATTTTTTCAACTACCCAATTGTGTCAATCACAATTGTCTTGTAATTTTCTTCTTTGAATTCCGTAATACATCATGACAGAATCTCCCAATGTATGTCCCTGGGAAACCCAGGAGAAAGAGACCTCCATGGCGGAAAAAAGTATTATGTAGGGACGTATAATCCCATCTTGAAAATTCACCTACTCATTTACAAACACTTACTAGTTGCCTCTTGTGTGTCAGGCACTGCCCTACGTGTTTGAGTTACATCAGAACAAAATAGACAAAAATCTCTGTACTCACGGAGTTTACAGTCTAGTAGGAAGAAGCAGACAAGGGGGGTACATAACATCAATAAGGATACCCAGTATCAAATCAGGAGAAGAAAGGACCAAGGGAATGCCCAAACTTTACCTGTATGATGACCACTAATCCTGAATTGTACCCCACACCTAAAAATAAAAATTAATAAATGAAGACAATAAATATTTAAAATAAGTAATACATAAAATATATTAGAGGTGATTGATAAGTGCTATTTTTTAAAAAGTATAGCAGAGCAAAGTAACTATAGTGGTAAGGGTCAGTGTCCTCTACGGAAGCTGGCTTTTGAGCCAAGTCTTAAGGGTGGAAAGGAGTTAGGTAAGTCATACAGGTTCCTGGGGAGAAGACTGTCACAGGCACAGAAAACAGTGAGTGCAAAAGCTCTAGGCTAATTAAATGCTTAAGACCTATCCTAGGAAGAGCAAAGACATGAGCATGGAGCAGAGTGAAGAAGGAAAAGAATAGCAAATCAGGTCAGAGAATCAATGAGAAGCCAAATCAGGCCAGAGAATCAATGAGAAGCCAAATAAAAGGCCTTGTAGGTCACTGGAAGAACATAAGATCATAACAGAATCATCTGAGGTAAGAAGTGGTCAGATACTGGACATATCTGAAGGCAGAGTCAGTGTGGCTGCTAATGGATTGGATAAGAGTATAGAAAAAAGAAAGGAGTCAAGGATGACTCTAAGATTCTTCATCTGAGCAACTCTATTTTTAATCTCAAGTCCTTTGGGCATTTTACTCATTAAAAAAAGACAATTTATATGTTACTTTGTACGATGGCATTTTTTTCCTAAAAGAAAATGTTGGAGTTGCCACCTTCTAAGATGGGGAATCAAGTTTTATGGGGAAGATAAGAAATTCCAGTTTGAACAGTAGATCTGTCCTAACAGATAGATCAAATTTTTTTAACCCAGGATATTTTATTGAATATCATTATTATAAAAGAGTATTATTCTTAATAGTGATAGATGGGCAGGATATATCTTTTTAAATATTTAGCTCTGACACTCTGTGTGTATATATACATAGCCATTTACCTCTGTTTCCAAAATTTAGTTATAGGCAAAAAAATGTGAGAGGGTCTAAAGCAAGACGTTGATTCAACTTTGCTTAACCTAGAGTTTATCGAGTTTATCTGGTCATGCAACCACAAAAATATCTGTCAACAGACTATACAATCAGTCCCCCTAGAATACACATTGAGAAGCACGGTCCTACTGACTCTTCCTATTCCTCTATCCACCTGGCTTCTAAAGGTCCATCTTCCTTCCTGGAGGCACTCCCAAGGCACTCTGCCTTGTACTCTCTTCCTTCATACAAATTCTCCCACAGCAACTATCACCCTCATCTAGTTCAGATCTCCAAACACTTCCATACTCTCTCTTGTGAGGCTCTAAAACACCAGAAACTAAGGATGTCAAAAACAAAACACATATTTCCTCTCATAAAAGCTGTTCTCATTTCAGTTCATTTTCCCCTAGTTCTCCAGTCACAATTTCCCCACCAAAATTCTCCAAATCCAGTCAGTCACAAAGTCTGCTTCCTCTTTCTAGCATCTCAGAGTCTACTTTGTCTCTTCATTCTACAACCATCATCTTATACTCATGCCAGCCTTACCCCAATAACCACTCAGACTTGGGGCTCTTCATACTGATTTCATCCTAGACATTGCTGTCAGATTAAATGTACAGAAATGCCACTCCCCATCGAATCGTTTTCCTGTAAAGAATGCATAGTGGGTGTTCAATTGCCTGTCAGATTAAATGCTTCCTATCAACAGTCTCACGCATTCAACTTCATTTTCACTGCTGTAGTTCTAATCTAGCTAAAACAATTTTCAAAGTGGTCCCACATGCTCAAAAATCTGCTCATCCCTAAGGGATTTCATCTATACTCTTCCTTTCCACAAAAAATGTCCTCTATTTATACGTCTACTATTTAAATATTAAATTCCTTTCACAGCACATCTCTATTAAGTCAATCAGCTACATCTAACAATAATCACCTTACTTCATACTCTGTCAGTATTATTTGAACAATATACATCAGGACTGGAAATCTTTTTTTTGTAAAAGCTCATACAGTAGCAACTCAAGTCTGCTGCTGTAGCACAAAAGCAACCATAGATAATACATAAACAATAATGGGTGTTCTCTGATAAACTTGTAATTTACAAAAACAAGTGATGAGTAGGTCATAGTTTGCTAACTCCTGATTTACATAATGACATTAAAAATTAATTTACAAAACATCTCTTTCTTATTTTAGCTAATTAATCAGTTTATTTATTTATTTATTTATTATAGAGTTGTGGGGTACAAATGAGGATTTACTATATAAGCAGGCTGCAAGCAGGTGAAATTTGGGCTTCTGGGTGGTCCTCATTCCCAGTGATAGTAGACCAGGTACCCTTTGTGTTGTCATGTGCCCCTTACCCTTCTCCCTCTTTCCCTCTCTCCCCTAGCAGCACTAAGCAACTGCCAATCCCACCCTTGTTTTACTATGATTAATGATCAGGGCCCACTTATGAGTGAGAACACGTGGTACTCGGTTCTTTGTTTCTGTGATAGTTCACTTAGTATGATGGTCTCCAACAGCATCCAAGTTGCTGCAAAGCCCATGATTTTGTTCTTCTTTATGACTGCATAATAATGTATCGTGTATATGTATCTCATTTTCTTTATCCGGTCCACTTTCAATGTGCAGCAGGGTTGCTTCCATCTTTTTGCTATTGTGAATGGTGCGGCAATAAACATGCACGTAGAGGTGTCTTTTTGGTAAAGCAATTTATGTTCCTATGGATATATTTCCAGAAGAGGGACAGTTGGATCGTATGGAAGATCAATTTTCAGTTCTTTTAAGAACCACGACACTGCTTTCCATAGAGGCTGAATAAGCATACATTCCCACCAACAGTGTAGAAATGTTCCCTTTTTTCCAGAACTATACCAGCACCTGTCATTTCTTTACATAACTGCTACATAACTTTACATAATTGCTAACTCCTGATTTACATAATGACATTAAAAATTAATTTACAAAACATCTCTTTCTTATTTTAGCTAATTAATCAGTTTATTTATTTATTTATTTATTATAGAGTTGTGGGGTACAAATGAGGATTGTGGGGTATAAATGAGGATTTACTATATAAACATTCAAATGTGGCCCTGTGCTTCTAGGAAGCTAAGGTAAATATATAAACAAAATAAATTATACCTCATTTATTATCTAAAAGACAGAAAAGTACCCTGTATCAAAGTAAACATTTTCATGCCCTTAAACGCTGAAGGAAATTTCTCACATCGGGCTTTATAAATGGAATACAGAATTAC